AGTTTTGATTCAATATTTTTTAAATAAACGAAATAAGATAGAAATGTGCGGTTTCAACCACTGAGTTTCAAATTTCGAAAAGTTTTTTCCGAAGCACATTAATTTTTTTTCCATGTATACAGAACGAGAAAAATTTTTGTCCATATTTTCAACTAAAAATAACTTGACTTATATCTTGCTCGCCACTGCACTGGTGAGAGTTTCGACCGGCGCTAACAAATATTTTATTTATTTTTAGCAAGTTTTAGAACAATTTATTTTTGTTGTGCGCTCAAACGGCTAAAGATAAAAGCATGAAATTTTGGGAATGGTTATATCTAACTAATATCTAAAAAGTTATGGCAGCAGATTTTTGAAAAAAATAATTAAATCGGAGTGAAAATATTTTTTTTCTCAAAAATTATACTTCTCAAAAAAAATCTGCTCCCATACTTTTTTTTAGAAGTATGAAGTAAATTAACTCCCAAAATTTAAAAAAAATCGCTTGGTAAATAACGGCGTTTGACTTTTATTTCAAATAAGCGAGATTATGTATTCCTCTTAACAATTTAACTTTAATAAACTCTAGACGTTTCTCTATAAATTGATAAAAAATTCTATTGACTCCCCAAATTTTCTTCATCAAGTGGATTCTCACTTTAAAATGCACTATTCATCTATACAACCATTTTCAAGCCTATAAAAGTTAATTACCTTCACTCAAGAAATGTTGAATGATAAAATTTGGCACATAATAAGGAGCATCGAGAATAATCCTCAGCACTTTGTTGTATCATAGTTATATCTAATATTGGTTTCAGAAAAATTCATAATAGGAATTATGTAACGTAACAAGGAATACATTTGTAAGTTATATATTTTAGAAACTACAATAATTGCTGATAGTAAAAATATAAATACTCAACAACCCCTGTACATTATTTTAAAATATATTAAAATAAAACTTCTATCGAATTATTTCTCTGATAATTTTAACTTTTTGTTCGATCAACTGTTCCACAGAAGGATTTATCGCAGGATGATTGTGGAATTTATTCAATTCGACCACCCGTCCGAACGTCGTCAACATAGCGCCGCACCTTGTTTTGGAATACTGATTGCACCGCCATCTAGTGTTTTTGTTTTGAATAATGTGCAGTGTAAATTCGTTTCCGTCTAGAATCAATTTCGGCCTCTTTTTTCCTGACGCTATCCAAATCGTTCCTTAAATAAATGCGATGAGTTAGTTTGTTTATTACAAAAAATTTATTTGTATGATGATATCACTCACAATTTCTTATAGTTTTAGTTGATTAATAATAATCATACGTGGTACATTATAGATGTAAAATCTAGTAAGCAAGCTTGTCATGTTTTGTCATTGCTTTTGTATTGTAGCTGTAAATTATTGAGCTGTCAAAGACAACTGTTGTTAATATACATAATATACATGAATTAATACCTTAGAATATATATAGTCAGGAAGGAGGAATTGTAAAGAACCTTGGAATCGCGATGGTATCTAATTTTGACAGTGAACTAGACGAATATGGCGACAAGTGTTTCCGGTCTACCAGTGACGTACTGGTAGACCGGAAAGGGGCGTAGAAAAGAAAATAATAAATTCTCATTTGCATATTTTAAAAATCTTTAATGTGGTTAAAATTTGAGAAAACAAAATACTTGCTTATGAAATGTAGATTATTCCTTTCTACTTTTAGCTGTGCTGCTATATCCACAAGACGAACAACTGACCATATTATCTTGTTTGTCTTTTAACGCGGAAAATTTAAAATTAACAATAATACTAAATAAAGACTAAAACACTAAACACTTTTTAAAAATGTCTAGAAAACATATTCTTGATAAAAGTTTAAAACATCCAAATTATTAACAAATTTTAATCACTAAAATTATAAAATAATTTTAGATACCATTTATCATATGATCATGAGTCATCCATAGTACAACATGGCTACCACTTCCATCAGATCGATTTGATTAACGGGGACATGGCATGCTCTTTCCTGACTATATATGTTCTAAGATTAATACAATAACGTAGGACTATAGAGTTCTTTCAAGACGAAGGAGTTACATAGGACCATTGACGAAGAGGAGACATGTATTTATTTAACAAAAAATATGCGCAGTAGCATATCTTCGAATCATTTAGATGGCATTTACAAGAAAAAACATACATAGTATTAATGCCAAAAGGACCTAAGCCGATATCTTTGTTAATCATAACTCGATTCGAACAGGACAAACGACATTTAGCGTAACGTGTCATTTAGTTGTCACTTATAATTAAATGCATACTTATTATTAACTTAGAACATATATAGTCAGGAAGGAGCATGCCATGTCCGCTTTAATCGGTAAATTTAGATAATATGCAAATGAGAATTTATTTTCTTTTCTACGCCCCTTTATGACAGTACGTCACTGGTAGACCGGAAACACTTGTCGCTATATTTGTCTAGTTCACTGTCAAAATTAGATACCATCGCGATTCCAAGGTCGTTTAGGATTCCTCCTTCCTGACTATATATATTCTAAGATTATTAATAACAAAAAGACCTAAGCCTATATCTTCGTTATTATTAATTCGATTCGAACGGAGTAAACGACATTCAGCATGAACTGTCATTCAGATATCATTACCACGTGTCGTATTAATTCCAAAGCGACCCAAGCATATATCTTTGTTATTATTAGTCCAAGTCGAAGGAGAAAAACGTGAGGTGATTCGAAATATCATACAGATGCTATATTTTAAAAAATCTGCATAGTAGAATTGTCAAAAAGACACTACTTCTCCAATTTGTATGGTACAACGTAAAATTCGACAACGATGGTGATGTTACAACGCTACAATTTTTGTTAAAATAAAAATGATGGAGATTTATATAGAAAAATATACTATTTTTCCATTTTTGGCTTATGGGAGATTTCCAAAAGAATATTTCACAAATTTTATCAACGTAGTATACCTACCAACAAGAAAGAAATAACTGAATACTCAAAATTCACTGTTTGCAAAAAATCAGTTTCTGCTAAATCCTGAAAAAAAGGTTGCATTTAAGTTTACTATTCCACCATTGCAGAATAATTGTAAAACTACTATTACTTACATTCTTAATTTATAACAAGTATACGTACAGTATAATGTTGGAGGAATTCAATTAGAAAAAAAAACAAACATTTTTGACTTTGTGCATGTAATATATTTATTTTTGAGTAAGCTGTATATATGTACGAGAATGAACATTAATTTCTTTTGATGCGCCACTGCAACAATACAGGATGTTTTTTTAATTTTTAATTTATAAGAGTTACGTCCCCTGTAATATATTATAAAAAAAACATGTGCCATTTTCATTTAAATACCATATAACAAATCAAAATTGTATGATAAATAACTGATAGTTTTACGTACATAGACATAAACATTACAGACGGGAGAGCTTGAAACAAAATTAGTCAACAAGTTATTACAAAAGGACAAAAGAATCGGCAGCATTTTGAGAGTAGAGTTGTACGAATTTTCGCGAAAAATATTTCAACACGAGATGACTAACCAGTAAACGTCAATAAGTATACAATATTTTAGATCTTTCGACCTCATCCCGAAATTAAGATTATTAATTAGTTAGAAATCGGAGGTTTCCATAACAAGTGGCGCCCAACGTGGGGCAAAAAACAAAATTAAATTGGGATTTCGAAATTTGGTAAGAATTTTTAATTGTTTTGAGTTAAGAACTGTTGTATTGGGTCGGTAGTGAGTGATATTTAAGTATTCAGGGTGAAATTTCAAAATTGAGGAAGTACAAATAACAATCAAGATGAAAGAGTTAAGAGAAAGAGAAAGGGGTAACGAAAGACGGTATGATAAGCAACCTAAAAGTCGTTAGAGGAATGAGTGAACAATGTACGAATGATAGAATCAGAGAATGAAACAATGAGGGAACCAAAGATTACCAATGAGGAGCTGAATGGAACAAAATTTTATAAGAAGCACCCACCAAAAATAAAAAATAAATTGTGTATGTAAGAACATCCGAGGGGATTCTAGAATTTGGGGAACATTTTAAAAGGGGAATAGAAGAACGTAGATTAGTGTATGTGCAAGGAAATTTAGAAGGATAAAGTTTTAATTGATACAGGGGCAGAAGCATCGTTAATAAATAAAATTACACTAGGAAAGGAGAAAAATATGAGATGCGAAAATGTAGTAAAATTTATGTATATAGGGAGGTGTTTAGAGGTAGTTAATATTGATTTTATTAGTAATCTGAAAAAAAGTGAGAAAGTTAACATAAATATTTTAATTGTAGTGGTGTGTTTTTTAAATTTGTGAAGATGTATCCAATAAAGTATGTGAAAGAAAAATTATTTTTTTTATTTGAAGAGCTGGGAAAACCAGAAAGTATAATATAAGACAATGCAAATATTTAATAAACTGCATGAAAAATAACATTGGACGTAAGATAATTATTAGTAGACATCCTGCTGCAAATACAGCAGAAATATACATCAAGGAAGTAAATAAGATTTTGAGAATATTAATGGAAAATAATCATACAAGATGTGAAAATCACATTAAAGAAGTAGAAATGTTATTAAATAATATTCAAAGCAAAATTACAGATGAAAATCCAATAAATGTGAAGAAGGGTTAGTTAACTTTATTTGACTTTAAACCAATTCAATTTTTTTTTATTAAATATTCTTTGCCCAATCTCATTTACAGGAATACCTGAAGGAGGACCCTTACCTCATTATGCGGATCATTTAATTTTTTTTGTTGAATATTCCTTGTCCAATCTCATTTACAGGAATATCTGAGGAAGGACCATTAGATCAGTATACGCATCTCTAAAAACAAACTCAAAATAAACATCAATAAATCCGTTACTTCTTCTTTTCTAGTATAACATTTTGCGAGCTCAATCTGCTGCAATCGTAGTCTTTTGGACGATGGTTATGCTTCTCGTCGTTGATCCTTATCGTGTTACCTTGAGAGATAATCATGGCATTACATTTGGTTTTGTATGAAACGCATTTCCAGTAAGTCCTGTCCGATTTCTTGGTGTGCAATTTATACTCGAAATTGTTTAAAATTATCTTTGGATTGGTCCTTCCTGCTACAAAGTAGATTGTTCCTGCAAATTAAAATTATTAGAAGTACAAATCTAAAACAAGAATAATAATAATATAGGATCAAATTTTACATATTATTATTGAAACGTTTAAAGAAGGAAGACGGCTGAAAATATCATTAATTAGGAAATTAAACATCTAGGGGCCTAGGACATATCCTTGCGGCATACCAGATATTGAAAAGTAGTTCAAAGACTATTCTAGAAAACATGTTGACCCATTAAATAATTTTCAAAACTTTGACTTTATCATTTTTTTAAATTGTACAGCGAAACTGTTTGAATTTGTAATATGTGATAAATTATATGCCCATTTTTAAAAATACGTATCAACCGAACAGTACGGATTTTGTCGTAAAAAATCTGTAGATACAAATTTATTAACTTTCAGCAATAAAATATCAAAATGTGTTAATTCCCGTGATTATATTTATACTGATTTCAAGAAAGCCTTTGATAAGGTAAATCACAATATTCTCCTAGCCAAATTAAAATATTATGGTCTTAGCGGTCACATAATAAAATTCTTTTCGTCTTATGTAAAGCTGAAGTCTCAGTACGTACTGTTTGGTGGTGAAGTATCACATACAATCCTTGCAGGCTCTGGTGTCCCGCAAGGCTCCAATTTAGGCCCTCTACTTTTTTTAAATATTTGTCAATGATCTTCCTCTACGTATTACATCAGACTGCCTGATGTATACAGATGATCTAAAAGTTTTTAAAAAAATCTCCACCCTTAATGATTATCTAGCCCAGTCGTCGCCAACCTGTCGATCGCGAGCTAACGGTAGCTCGCGGAGGCAATTCTGGTAGCTCTCACAACGATTTTAATATAAAAAATACAAACTGCAAAAATCAGAGAAGCTTCCGAAAATTCCACAAAAAAATCTAATTGTCATAATATTAAACATAAACAGCGGCAACGTTACGGTGAGCGATCTGCCGCTGACGCCATCAAGCTGGAATCGGCTAGAACCGACCAGCCGGACCAGCGCGTTAGTGTTCGAACGGGATAAATACGCACGGCGCGGCGACATTGCGCTTAGTTTAAAACTGAACGCGTAACCAACGTCCAGCGGTTGGGTTAGTAGAGAACATCAAAAAATAATATTATGGCAATCAGTTGTAAGAAGGTAAAGACATACCACTTTCATTCGGAATGGGAAGAACAATACTTTTTTACAGAAGTTAAAGATAAAAATGTATGTTTGTTATGTAATACTTCGGTCTCCGTTGCTAAAAAATGAAATATTGAGAGACATCATAAATTTGTACATTCTAATTTTGAAAAATCATTCCCACTACATTCTGCCGCCAGAAAGGAGAAACTGAAACAGTTAAAAAAGCAGTTAATTGGACAACAATCAATATTTTTAAGAACAGTCGACAAAAATAAGGCTGCAACTGAAGCATCGTACCGTGTGTTCCAGATAATTGCACAAAAAAAGAAACCTTATGAAGACGGGGAAATGATAAAACAGGCGTTTTTAGAAGCTGCTGATTCGTTATTTGCCAACTTTAGAAATAAAGACGAGATAGTTTCAGCTATAAAATCTATGCAACTTTCTGCTAATACAGTGATGAGACGTGTAGAAGTAATGAGCAATGATATTTTTTTACAGTTAAGAACTGACTTAGATAACTGTCTTTATTTTTCACTTCAAACGGATGAATCAACAGATGTCGTTGACACTGACCAGATGGCCGTGTTCGTCAGGATGGTTTTTAGTGATTTTACGATTAAAGAAGATCTTTTGAAGTTTATTCCACTGAAAGGACACACTACTCGACAGGAGTTGTTTTCTCATTTAAAAAATATTATTTCTTCCGAGAAAATTCCAATATCGAAAATGGTAGGCTTGACAACCGATGGCGCTCCAGCTATGGTGGGTTGTGATAAGGGTCTGGTGGAGTTATGTCGTAAAGATGAAACTTTTCCGCAATTTCTCTGTTACCACTGCATTATCCATCAGCAAGCATTGTGTGAAACTAAACAACGTTATGAAACTGGTGGTAAAAATTGTGAACAAGATTAGAGCTCAAGCGTTACAAAGATTATTTAAAACCTTGGCCGATGAAGTTTGTCAATACGGGGACCTACTCCTTCACTCTGAAGTCCGATGGTTAAGTAGAGGACGGGTGCTGAAACGTTTTAATGATGTCCTATCTGGCATAGTTCAATTTTTCAAACAACGCGATGAACCGAATCCGGAACTAGAAAATTCAATCTGGCTTAGAGATTTTGGTTTTCTCGTGGACATTACAGAGAAATTAAACGAACTTAATTTGCAGATTCAGGGGAGAGACAAAGAACTAGCGGAAATGATTTCTGATATAAAAGCATTTATCAAAAACCTAGCGTTTTGGGAACAAAACCTAATTAACAGTGATGACAAGCATTTCCTTATTCTTTCAGAAAAAATATCTCAAAATCCATTAGAACCCTATGACAGCAAATATCATGTAGAAATAGTTTCTACCCTGAAGAATAACTTCAAAAATCGTTTTAAGGATTTCAACGAAATGGATTTAGTAGCGCAGTTTGTTGTTTCACCCTTTATGGAAATTGATATCCAACAGTTTGCAACTTGTGTTATGCAGAACTTTGGCGAAGACATCGCTGCAACAGAAATGGAAGTAATTGAGTTTCAAAATGATTTAGCCTTAAAATTGTTAGTCTCAAGTACCAAATGTATCTGGCCTATTGTAAGTAAAGACATATTCAGTTCTATGTCGTGTTGCCTTGAAAGTGAAAGCATTATTCAGTTCAACCTATTTGTGTGAATCTTCTTTTTCCAATATGAAGTTTATTAAGAACAAATATCGCAATCGACTTACAGATTCGAATGGCTGTATCAAATTATACTGCAAACATTAAAAAAATTATCGATGAGTCTGAGTGTCAGTCTTCTCATTGAACGTGCTTTTTTATTTTTCAATGTTTATGTTCATGATAGCGCGTTACTTTTTTGTTGTTATTATTAACTATTTTTAAATCTTACGTGACATGCCGTTGTGGCTGGATAAAAGTTTGTGTTTATTTTTTAAACACCTTCGTTTGGTAGGTAGGAATATAGCTATGAACAAGTACGTACTAGTAATATTAGTTATTTTGTTATTAGTTTATTATTAGTACCTATGTATTATGTATTACCAGTTAAATAGTAAAATAAATACATATAATAATAAATTAACTGTGGATTATTTCATTTACGTTGCGTTACGTGGCTTCCGTGTGGGTAGCTCGCTGTTTATTCCAAAATTAACAAAGTAGCTCAACACATTGAGAGGTTGGCGACCACTGATTTAGACCTTCAAAATAACTTAAGACTTTCCACTAAAGTTATATTCCGATTTTCACAAAATATTTCCAATACATTCCAGTTTAGGGACATCATGTATATAACAATTTATTATAGATGCTTTCACGAAAAACTTTTATATGAAAAATTTTCTTTTCCAATCATAAATAACAAAAATATACCAAACAGTAAAAAAACAACCCCCTCCCTAGTGGTCCGACTATGCCCAATATATAAACAGCTCTTCAGAATACCCTGGAAATCCTTTGGTTCTCCAGTTAGATATCTTCAATAAATTTCTTGAACCTCCAGTTTAATGAAGGAAATTCTTCAATGGTAAATTCAAAGGTATACAGAAACTAAAACAAGTTTTTGGTTGTTGAACCATTTTATTACTCTTATATTTAATACATTTTTGTCATATATGTGTAGTATACGTCATTTGCTTTCTTTGTAAATAATTTTAGTGGTTAAATAAATATACAGACGTAAAAAAGTTGATCTACTTTACAGGGTGTCTCCAAAAAGGTTGGGACATAGTTTAACCATAGTAGATTTAAGGATATAAGATGATTATCTATATCTAAAAGCATCTGATTAAGTTATCATTGTGTATAAAAGTGTATTTTAAACAGTTTGGATTTGTTTTTTCTAAATTTTCGATTTTTTTTAATTGGTTCGCATTTCGTTTTTATTATTTTTTAATTTTAAGATTATATCTTTTTTTTTAATGTAATAACTTTTAATTTGTATCTGCATTGATATCTAAAACAATACTGAACCTCATACTCTGCATTCGCTTTATTATCCAGCGCCACTTTAGGAAAAATATTAAACCTAATCATGAATAATTAAAAAAATACAAACCCTAACTACAGTGCCACCCATTTCCCAATTTATTAATTTTCAAATTTTTTGTAGTAGAAAAATAATAGTTTCACTTTTATGCTCGTTAAATAATAATATATCATTGTTATATAGAGCAAAATGATCAATTCTTAAAAGACTGCTCAAGTGGCCCATTTTAATCTATTTACAGCCCTGCGTGGAGATTTATTAAAAAAAACTGAGACACGTTGCGATTTTAGTCCATCACAATTTTCCATTGTTGGTTCATGGTTATGGACGCCTGTAATCCTTGCAATAGTTCCTTGGGTGGTCACTCTAGCCTTGCATTGACTCCTACTGTAACAAACGCACTTCCAGTACGTCCTGTCCGCCATTTTGTTGTTTATCTTGTAGACGAAATTATTGAGAATAATTTTCGGATTCACTCTAGCCATGTCGAAGTATATTAAATCTAAAAATAACGGTATTTAATATAAAAGAAATAAAAAAATGTATACAGGGTGATATGAAAATTTTTGGTTTCAATAGAAAGGTAATTGGAATATCCGATTATTAAAATGGCACTTCTAACCAATGATTTAAATATATATTTATACAGTGTGTCTACGTATATTGGAAAACTTTTTTATTAATAGTTTTAGGAAAAATATTATTTTGCTCAAGCGTACCGTATCTTTACTTTTTAACAAACCTTATATACGACTAATAAAATTTGATATCAGACGATTGCATTTTAGATTTTAGACTATGCACAACTTTTTATATAGAATAACTTTTTATCCAGAAATGAATAATAAAAAAAAATTCTATATAACGCCAACTTATGTAAACATACTCTATTGAAGTAAAGATTGTGAGGGGTGTATCCAGAAAGGTTCCATGAGCTGATTTATTCTTTAATTGGGTGTCAACGGTACTAACTACTAAGGCTATTAGATTCTTGTTTTGTGTAGACCTTGCTGCTGTTTGTTTCACTATGCTACTTACACAGGGTATCCCAGCTATTTATAACTATGTATGCTGTATAATTAGCATTTTGTAAACTTAATAAATTTAAGTTACTTTTACTTGAAACTGTCTGTTATATATAAATAGAGCAGTTAGAACCAGCAATGATTTTCCTCATTATTCAGGGTAGCGAAAAATTCTGGCAACAAGGCATTTTCTTTGAAATAAATTAATGTATAATTCTAAAATTATAAGGGTAGTTTTTTATGTCGTTTGCATTTCACCTAGTTATATTTCAGCCAACTAGTAAGTTGGCTTTATTATAAACTTAAACTTACATAAACCTATTTAAGTAAACTTAAGTAAACTTGTTTAATTTAACGTAAGTAAACTTAAATAAACTTAAGTAAACGTAAGTAACCTTAAGTAAACGTAAGTAAACTTAAGTAAATAGTGTAAGGATAATAAAAAATAAATTATTGCATCAAATAAAAAGTATCTATTGAACAAATTATCTAAATTTTATTCGTGATAAACAATATTATAATTTCAACGAAAACAGTCAAAAACAGTCAAAAACAATCTAAAGTGTGGTATTTCTCGAAACAAGGCACTATACAAAGTGCCACGTTGCAAATTTGACACATGTATCTAGATTCTCTTCGCTTGGTGGGAATCAACGTGCTATTAGCACAAACGAAGCATCTTCTAGACGTGGTTCTTTTTCTATTCGACGAAGGAACGTGCGACGGAAAATGGCTACCAGACAAACGAACAGGATTAATAAATTTGAAACGTTTTCGGGACTGCTGAAAACCTAAAACAACAATTATCACCTATATTTTCTAAAAAACAAAATAATTTTCATAGAATATGCCCAACCCTGTATATTAAAAATTATTCAGATGGCTACGGTCAAAAATATAATATGTTGAATTTTTGTTACTTCTATCTTGTTTATTTACTAACCGTAAGGTATTGGCACTAAATAAAAGACAATTCAAAACAATAACAAAAAATATTTCCCAAAAATATGAAAATTAAAACGACAAACTACAAAACCTAACGAATAAATTTATTGATGGGTTTAAAAGCAATGGTACATGTTGGAAATATATCCAACATGTACCGCTAAATAGGAAAGCCAACCCTGCATTTGAATTAACTTGAAAGTGTAGAGTTGATTATTAAACAAGAATTGTTAGTTTCTCACACATATAAAGAATGAGTTTTAACAACAACACCCTAAAATGGTACTTTTTCTGTTAGTACTAAGATACAGTGATAAGTGTTCTAGGCAAAATGAGCCATAAAACTTATTTTATATTTACTAGTATATAATTTATTTATGATGATTAAAAACAGTGAAAAGTAACACATGAATTTTTATTAAAACACTCAATTGTTTGATGTAACAAGAAGAATAATCTTCAGAATTAACGACAGGATTACACAGGTAATTATGTACTTAAACTACAGTCCATTTTGTTTATCACAGTACCTATCAGTGGCATATCTAAAGAAATATGCGCCACCGCTATATCTCAAACAGTTCTGGCCCCAATATTAACTTGTTCAGATAGTTTCAACAATAAGGTTCTCTTCTTCAATTCACTTTCTTCTTACTGCAGGTTCATCATTATCAGGCTCATAGTAACATTTTCGACAATTTTGTAGACATCCAAAACTCTCCGATTTTCTATACGCCCCAATAAATAAATTTATTACTTCTAGGAATTACCCCCTATGTAATAATTTAAATTTGTATCTTTTTTCTTTAGTATAAACCAAGAGTGGCATTATAAAAATAAAATTTATGGATAACTAAATAAACCAAATGGCTAATCTGCGAAAACAGAGCAGTAAATGAGCTGAAGAAACAATATATTGGACATGCGCATACTGCAGTCTACAATTAATAGAGATAGGCGTAACTACATTGTATGACTCGTATACTTTTTTCTAACATATATATTTACATCTTTGTATCATTGAAGCGTCCAGATAAAGATGCACTTTAAAACGTCCATATCTCTTTATACTAGTTATTTTAGACATATATACACTTTATTATTAGAAAAAAGGAGCTGAACATTAAATTGAAAGGAAAACACAAATAGTCACGTTTATTTTATTTACACTCGGGTGTTATTTCAATTTATAAATATTGTAGCGCCACTAATATTAAATTTTACGTCAATTAGCGTTTAGCGTTGCCATATGTTTGCCAGGTAAGAAAAAGATACAAAAAATCAATCTTCCAATTTTTTATGGTACAATCCAAAACATGGCGCTCCACAAAGACCGATGTTACACAGCGAACACTGATATCGGGATTCACGTCTAACCACCTTTCCCGCAGTATCGCGTTTTTTCGCGCATACCACGCATTTACGCGTTGGATTTCTTTTCTTAGCTGTAGGTGGCACCAGATCCGGAAAATGGCGGTGGTCCGTGCGAAAAGTGTCTAGGAAATGTCGTCCCCCAGCGGATCTAGATTGGCATTCTTCGGATAATTTCGGTAGCCCTTAAAAATGAAAAATTGTAACGTAGTCACATAGATAAAATTAGATACTCAATGTCGTATGAAAGAATTACTAGCAAACTAGATTTGGAGGAATTAGAAAAGGAAGCGACCGTGAAACAAGGGTATAAAACAGGTGGTTAGAGCACTACTGCCGAAAGGCCTGCTATGGGTTTTTTTTAGAAATTTTCTTCTAGCAATAGGGAAATTCTGATTTAATAACATCATTTCAGATACCTACCACTATTTCTTTAACCACATCTTCTCAGACCCAATCCCTAATCCCCAACAGTGTGGTTTAAGAGGATAGGAATTCATATAGTGGCTGGTCCCATCTATGGGAATGAAATACACGTCATCTTCCCTTTTTTACCCATAAAGGGACATAAACTAAAACGGTAAAGTACCTACACATGAACTAACATGGTGCAATCCAAATATATTAAAGAAATTAGAATTCTAATTAAAATTAAAGAAAAAACTAGGGCCTTCGAGGTTTGCTTGGTAAAAAAAATTATACATCTTTGACACAAATGAAATCTGCATCCGATAAGTTCTACTCTATCACTAGTCAGGACCGTCTGAGATAAGCTTCATCAAAAACCACATTCTGGTTATTCGTTAACAGAAAGCAGATAAGTTGAATAAAGGTACTAGTGAATTAAAAAACTAAACAATATAACTATTAAAACTAGATAACTTTATTAATACAGAAAAATATTATGTCATCTCTAGACCGATAGATTTAACAATTCATATGCGAGTTTATTCACGCTTAATCTAGATTCAACTTTATTTCATATTAATCTAGCAGCAATGAATAAGTCATGAAAATAATAAAAAAATCCGAAAAGTAAACACCTTTTTCGGTAACATAAAAAGTACTATAATCGTAATAATAATAATATACAGTATGATGCAAATTATTTCGTATCCTGAAATTCGACCATGTTTATTTTCAAACGCGAGATAATTCTTTTATTCGTGACGTCATCTGTGACATCAATTATTTTTTAAATAGAAAAGTACTTCATGCGAAAGATCAATTAAAAGGGAATGGATTTTAGACACAGCTCACCGCGGCTGGTTCCATACATGCCAGCTCGTCCGACGAACGATATGATTGATTGGCCGCTAGAACAGAAACCAAGGGGTCCCTTGATTTCTGGTCGGACGGAAGACTAAATCATGGCGTTCTTGATAATGATAGATAAGCAGTGGTCGGACGGAAGACTGCGCTGTGACGTTACCGATCTGAAATGATCTCTGGCTCATCAAAATCAGTTGATAATGTTCAACAAGAAGCAAGAGTAAGCACGAAAACAGGGCTGTCTGTAGCAAGGCGTAGAATGGTCTAACCCACCAAAATTGAGATGTATATAATATTGTAAATATATTTGAACTTGAATTTGCCTTATCAGAGGCAGATAAGTCGTTTACTAACTTTTTTGTTGCCTTGATGATTGGACTATTTTGCTTTGATTTCAGTAAGGCGTTTGATAAAGTGCCTATAAATAGAATAGTATTTACATTAGACATTCCTGAATTATTTAAACTTATTATAACTATTTGATAGATAATTAAAGGACCTTTTAAATTATCTATTTAAAAAATTATTGATGACGTCATCACGCTCGCACAGATAACGTCAGGAATAAAAGGAATATCTGACTGTACGCGTGTTTAAAAATTAGATTGGATGGGTTTCAGGTTCTTTTCGAAAGTCAACGACTTACGACACAATGAATATATTCCGGTTGAACTAAAAATTCCCAAATTCTTCTACCCTAAAAATAATACCCTTTATATCTGATGTTCTATAATTAGTTTCCATATTTGATTTTTATTTTTCAGCTCCAAAGCATTTTCTAAATACAAAATAAGACAAACTTTTATTAATTTTATTAACAAGATTAAGTTTAAGATCAATGAATAAGCAATGAAATGTTTTTATCCATTAATTTTTTAAGAAATCCAAAATAATGCAGGGCAATTAAACTGATTAATTAATAATTAAAAATACATACAAATCAAATTTTAAAACAAAATTACTAGACTTGTATTAAAGACTACGTTGTAGGCTGGTGTCTTCGTCTCACCATTGAATAAAACCTTTTTATATTGACCACCTGACTGGGTAGTCCGGTGAAATTGATGGCTTCTTGCGAATGATTATGCCCCTGATAACTGACCATAACGACTTTTCCGGAAGTTCTTAATCTTGCTGGACACCTGGTCTTGTAATACCAGACACATTTCCAAGCCGAACCGTCACTGACTTGCCTTATAAACTCGTATCTGTAATTATTCCATATAATTTTCGCATTTCCTTTGGCTGTAGGTTCAAAATATATCACGCCTAAAATGTTTATCAAATTAGAACAGTATATCTATGGTTTTTAATTGTAACAATTATTTAATTCATGTATGAAATGATTCAGTTCGTAAAATGAACCTTTCTAATCAATTTTAGCCTTGACAATAATATTTTTCAACAATATAAATATACTAAAATAAAATATAATTGTTTTAGCGGGAAAATTCCATATAAGAATTATTATATTCGCCAATTTTTGAATTTAAGTTCAACTTAATAATATTCGGGAAAATTCAAACTAATATGTCCCGTAAAACTGTCAGTCAGGAAATTCATGACTATCTACGATTTGGGAATAGTATTTACAGCCATTGGCCAGTAGCTATTACATAATGATTATTCTGTATCTAGAGTTTCCGAATTTTCTTTTTGTTATTATAAGTTTTGGAGAAATTAGAAAATTTGCTAACGGGTCTATACTTTTCAAGATCACCTTTGGCTCTTTTTTATGTACTGGTACAATGCTAGATAGTTTCTACAACTCAAAAAATGTTATTTTTTAATATAAAATTAAAAATAGTACACAGTAATGTTGAAAGAATGTGCGCACCATCTTTTTTATAGCATATATCACTACCTTTTTATATACCCGTTGTATAAATTTACATCGGCATTTGAAATTTTTTTATTTTAAAGAAAACAAACAATAATAAAATCTATATATACATTTTTATTGAATAAACTTATTTACGTACAACAGTGAATAATTGAAAAGGTAGCGATCCCAAATCGACGTCATTGCAAGTCGATTGATGATTGTGAAAACCTCTCATCACCGCCATATTTTTCATCGTCGTCACTTTAGCTCTGCAATTTCCTTTCCGGTATTCGGAACACAGCCACAACGTCTTCCCGGCTTGGATGCTGTTCACCGAATACGAATTGAAGTCTAGTATAATGCGTGGCGATGATTTGAACCTCGACTTTTGGAAGTATATTTTTCCTAAATTACCTAAAATTATATGGCGTATTAAAACTGCGAAATGAACTAAAAATGGCGGTCGTTTTTAGTAAGTCAACAAGGTGTTAGTAAATCATGCTATTTATAAAAATAAAAAAAAAATACAAGCAAACTGAAATTGTAGAATTATCTGAAATAGGTTTTTAAATAATTCAAGGATTCGGAACTGATGATCTTGATAATTCGTTGTTTCCGAATTCTCAAATTATTTGAAATATAATTATAAACAGTAATTTTGTAAGGATGGACTGTATATGAACATATTCCATAATAATCTAACCATACTTTCACATTATCATTAAAACATTAAAATTGTAATTGCTTTAGACAAAGTATGGTATGAAGGTATGATTCAAAAACTGAACATGTTCCTGAACTATTATAATCCTATTTATCAGAAAGGTATTTCAGAATTAATCAGAAAGAAGCCTATTCCAACTTAAGAGAAATTAAGGCAGGAGTATCTCAAGGTAGTGTACTAGGTCTAATACTCTACTTTTGTACCAGAGATACTCGTAATCTTGAGCCCAATACTATGCTAATGATACTGCAATCGTTGCTGTTGGAAAAAATGACGAAGATGTTAATAAATCTATAGACTTGAATGAGAAGATGTCTAATAAAATTGAATGAAGGCAAATCTGTCTATATCAACTTCAGCAATAAACAAAATGAATATATTCCTATTAGAATAAATGACACTCAGATTCCTCTTGCTAATTTCCAGCCTTTGAGTATTTTTAGTTCAAGGAATAAGCTTGTGTTTATTTTAAAAACATGTATAGTCAATCTGTATAAATCTATATCATTGAACCTGTCAAATCACCAGGCACACAGTGTTGCCATATCATGTGCCTGTCAGTGGCATGTCATTTCCTACGGAAAACCACTTTGTTTGGAATGCGTAATTGAGATTGATACTAAAGGTACATGTCGTTTCTATACGGACAGTAGACGTGTACAGCTATTGACAGTTTGTATTAGGTAAATTTGATTAGGTATTTAAATATTTTGTAGATATTTTTAACTATTAAATCTTTTATTAATATGAAATTGAACATATATATCAAAACATTTTAAATCACACATTTGAAATTTTTATTCTGTTTAAAATTTATCGTACAAAGTTTTCTTCGCCACTAGCTTTCTTGATAGTGACAGTCTGAGAGTGCATATTCTTTATGTACTTATTAACGCAGGTAGGAGCGTGATTGTGATCACCAATAATTGTGGCCTGTCGTCCGTACGTCATCACTTTGGCTTTGCATCTGTCCTTTTTATGATACTGAGTACAAGACCACATCGTCTTATCTGGCAATTTCCGATATATCAAGTAACAGTTATTGTTGAGAATAATCTTCGGGTTTTTGTGACCAACGTCAAAATATATGATACCTAAAAATATAATGCCATGAAATATATGTTCAAATTTAATAGAAACTATTTTTAAACGAATATAAACACTTACCTGTATACAGCGGTAGAATTCTAAAAAAAAGGAGTCACAGAGATCTAGATCTGGTCAGTAAGTTGCATTTTTCATGAAGCGATTAATTTTTGTTGATATATCTAGATTTCAATCCCAAATGTCTATAGTGTGCAGGTTTCCCCCCATCTGACATCATGGAATAGTATTGCAAATAATACATCAGTTTTACTATCAAGAAGGTAAAATAGAAAAAGAACAGCAAGAGTACCTTATGTAAATTAGCATAGGATAATCATCAAGGTCCATACTGGCAATTGTTGTCATGCTTCATGACGTCACCTAACATCTGTCAACATCAATTAGGCATTCCAAACTGAATGGCTACCAGTGGGTTTTGACGAGTTATGATATGGCAAAATTATGGCAATCCTGTAGGCCTGGTGATTTGACAAGGTCAATGAAATAGATAGTTACATAGATTGATCATCCATATTTTTCTAAATAAACATAAGCTTATGCCTTGAAGTAAAAATGTAAGCAATTATTTTTTTTAAATATCTAAAGGCTAAAAATTGGTTTTAAAACACATTTTTGCTAAACCGATTCAAATTAATACATATTTGCCAGGCAATATGGCCGCTCGTAAACGACCAGCTTTGAGCAATCTATATAACTATATATGTATCATTGACCCTGTTAATGACAGCATGACAACAGGGTTGCCATATCTAAACTGTCATTACACACTGGTAGCCATTTGGACAGGTCGTTGGAATGCCTAATTAGGCATTCCAAACAAATGAATTACCAGTGGGCAGGTTTGGTATATCTAAGGGTGGCGACATATGGTGTATTCTATCTACTTTACGTAAAATCATGAATGATGGATTACATTTAAATATTTTATGTCAAACACAATAAAAATAATATTTAAAAAACCCACCTATACATTTCTTCATAAATTGGCAGGCTTGGCGAGTACTACTTCGAATAAAAATAGCGTCCAAGTTGCAAGACTATGTCGCTACCCCCTTAAATATACAAGAATTTCCCACTGGCACCTATTGTTTGACAGGTCGTTGGAATGCCTAATTGTCGAGAAAATATTTCAAGTTCATATGTCATATATCATCAGTTATATCTGCATTAAATACCATCGCTTATCATCCGTCATATCTGGCGTTTGATGACGTAAGCTGTCATTTATCATCTATTATGTTTACTGCTGAATGGATGCTCTAATTTGTCAATATTTTAAGCAATTTGCATTCCGCAACTCACCATATACAATCACTAATTTAAACAATAACAGTAAACCAACGGTAGATACAACAGATGATAAATGACAGGTGACGACATTTAGCATCAGATATGATGGATGATAAGTAACGCCATCTTACGACATATATAACTGATGACAAATGACATTGATAGATGTCATCGATATAAGGTATTGACAGATGTTAGGTGACGTGATGTTGATATGGACAAAAAATTGTCAGAATGGACCTTAACGATTTTACGGAAAGATTGGTCCTGAACTCTTGCTATTCTTTTAATAAAACTGTAGAAATATTATTATTAAAAAACTTTTTTATTTTCAAAAAATTTTTATTTAACAATATTAACATTATCGTCAACAATATCACATTTATTTATATAAAAAAGTGTTTTTATTTATTTTTGTATTCTTGTGCAAAATTTCCATTAATTTCTTCATTATAATATACAGGGTGTTGCTATGTTTTACAGACAAAGTTGAGAGGTGTCGTGAAATGATAAAATATGACGTAGGAAAATAGACCCTTTATGAGGACATACTTTAGGATATACAAGGGGTAGAAATTTTGAAATATAAAAGTTATTTTTAAAATATGACATTTTTGCAAATAATAACCAGTTCGCGTTATCAGGAGTGGTGACAGTTTTTATTTCATTTTATTTATTGACTATTTTTAGTAAAAAATTCAATTGATCTAAAATTATTTTGATTTAGTTTATAAACTATAAAATCTTTGAAACGCCACTGTTACTTTATTTTAGTTTATTTTTAAAGGATACATATTCCTACATGCCATTAACGAGAGCACTCAGATGTGAGCACTGTCGGTCAAATATAACGTAACACCCTGTATGTATAAGTCCAAAAAAGTGAATGTTTGCGTTAAAATATTTCACTCGTTGAAATATTTAATTACTAATAACATATTTACAATAAGGCATTGACTATGACGGTTTCGCATATACCGCTGTGACGTATCTGTACTTTTTTCTAATAGAACAGGCGCTACATAGCAGATCGCAAGCCACTTAACGCCAGTTTTTTTTAGATTTTTCCCAAGATTTGGGGAAATTTGTAGAGTAGATCTGGCAACATTGCACCGCATGATCTATAAAAGCCAAGTTAGTTCATTGGTAGGTGTAAAGTGTAAAACTATTTCATTTAAGATGTACATAATACTGCAATTGAGCAAAATATACTCTTCATTTAATTAGAGGTATTTTGGTTAGGGCAAGTTGATTTTAATTTTGAAGCAAGGCTTATTAGCTATTGTTGAACAAGTGTTACTAGAATTTCAAATCGAGACGAGTTTTACTTGCTGATGTACAAACACAACAAAGCATTGAAATAAGACCGTTCATCTTGAATATAGTACACCTTTTTCTGTGTGTAGTAAAATAAGCCTCAGTTATTTTACTGTACAATGTTGCCAGCTGCGGGAAGAGTCTTTGTAACCAAAAATCGGTAAAAAAAACGCATATAAAACAAAAAATAATGCATAATTTATAATCATGCTGTCGTATTTTATTTTTTAAATCTCAAAAATCAACATATTCCTGTTTTTTTTTTTTAATTCTTATGTCAAACAGTGATACAATAACGAAATACGGAGAAAAATGCAGATAGTTACATTTATTTCAACACACAATCGGACACTGTACTTGTATTTATTTCAAGGTTATATTCTTACTGCAACAAGTTGGAGATCGTAACATCTGTTGCTCAATTTGTTGTAATAATTACCAGAATTTCTTTATTATATCAAGTCAACAAATACAAATAATTTATATTTATTTACGAATGTACAGTGTTGCCGTTGTGTCCTACTCATCGAGCCCTTATATTTATTTTCAAACGTTAAGAGACGGCTTTGCCATTTAATGACAAGTTTCCGAAGAATTATTGGATATATTTATCATTGGTCCATGCAGTGATGTTTTAACAGATCTATTCTACAAATTTCCCCAGATCTGGGGAAAAATTAATGAAAGGGTCTTACTATCTGCTGTATATAATACGCTTTATTGGACTGTTCCTTTTTATTAGCATCCAGAAACTAAGAAATAATCCATAGTGTGGTGCTTTCAAAATGAATTTATTTAAACTTATGGAATACTGGAATTAACTTTCAATTTAACAAATTTATGTTTCTTATCCTTATATTCTATTTGAACGAATTTGTTTCCCAGCGTGGTGTAATCCAAATGGCTGGCGTTGGGCTCGTGATTGTGTTCCCCTCTAACGCAAATTTTTTCCAACGAACCACTTGTAGATGCGGTACAGTTACAGGCCGTTTTAACGTACGAATCGCATCTCCAAGAACTCCAATTGGTTCTTCTTTTGTTCACGTTAAACGAATTTTCATTGACGATTATTCCGGGAATTTGAGACCTGCCGGAGTATTTAAAATGTATCACTGAAAATAAAAATTGTATTCAATCGTTTGAAAAAAGTTTGTACTTGCCTAAACAAATCTGATGCAATAGAATTTCTCGGGATTACCGACTATGATGTATCCGAAACATATATGTATTCGTAAGATCAATATTGGCCAAGTTAAAGCAAAAAACCATTGCATTTTTTATTAAAATTCACTGTAATAGGCTTCATTCGATATAAAACTTATATCAAGATACAAATATTTTAAATATAAGGTCAACAAAATACAATAGAAAACGTTCTAAAATGAATCTAAATTCAAACAGTATCGGCCTCTGAACGTTTTCCAATAGGCTTTGCACAAGTCCGTGTGAAAACTACAAAGAGTTTGCATTGGGTAGAACAGGAAACGAACATCAGCGTTGCCAATTTATACGGTACAACCTTGTTGTAACGTTGACCGGGTTTAGTTTAATTTAATATTTAATTCTTCACAACATTATTATAAATATTAATCAAAAATTATTTTTACAAGAGTACATATACATTACACATATAAATTACTTTTTTTATAGAACATAAAATATAATTTATAACCACCGTAACGTAACTTAACGTCACAGGAACGTAAGATATAAAAATAAAGTCTATTTATAAATGTCCGTAACGTAAGAGTCGAGCATGCGTGTTTTATTTCAGAGATTATCAAATTATTGACAACCTTACGAAATAAACAAGTGTAAACTATGTACCTAACCTCCAAATAAAACTCATAAATTATGATTTTGCTATAGCAATGTATCAACTACTTTAAAAGCAATATAGAATGGTTCACCGAAGATCTTTCCTAGCAAACTAGTTTTATGACTTGTTTCAGTTCATAAATATTTAAACCCCAATAATATAAACACAAAACATTCATGGTAATGTATGTTCATAAAAAAGAAGAATGATAGTTTACAAATCTTCTTCTTCTATGTGATTATGGGCGTAATCCGAGGTTAAGTTAGTTTTTCAAATGTTGTTAAGTGAAAAAGCTGCACCCTCGTGTGTCAGACTTCTGTCCTCACCCTTCCACTGCACTTGATAATTAGTTTAAAAATTCTTCTGCACTCTTGGCACAGAATATTTTATTTAATTTAGTATTATTTTTAAAGTCGGGTGGTCACTTTTACACTAGATATTTAGTGATTATTATAGGACTTCAGGGCTCCCGATTCGGAGACCGCCATTTCAATGTTGCCACGACGATATCCAAATTGGAAATTTGTTTGGAAATGGTATTTGTCCATTCATTTATAAAAAAAATAAAAAGAAGAATTGACATTTATCACATGCTGAACTCAGAATTATCTCATTGGCTGACCGTAAGATCTTAAGTTACGTTACGAACATTTATAAATAAGTATACGTAAATTCAATATTTCAACGTCTTACATAAGAATAGTGTTAAAAATATTACCTATACATAAATACGATGTTATTAAAATGTTCTTGGGAAATTATTCCAGAAACGTTTCTTTAGAAACTCCGTAGAGACGTACCATTTATGTCAGAAACATAGAAACATACATATGTCCTAAATGGGATGTTTCTGACAGATCAGTGTTATTAGGGAATAATAAAAAAGTGTTCCATAAGGTTCCAACTTAAGTAGACACTATGACAAATACAAAAAAAACGTCGAAAATATTTTTTGCAATACAGAAGAAAGTTATTTTGAATTAAAAGTAATATTCAAATAAATTAGTCTAAGAGCCAGTGGACGACTACCTGTATGTATTTGACCAGACCTGAGTTTTTGTACACTGAGGCCCCTATACCTACCATACCTGAGATAGGAAGTCATTAAGTCCAAAGTGGTGGACGAGGCGGGCACTCAGGTAAGACAGGTATCAGTTTTTGGCAAATTTAAAATGCCACGTCTGCCGTTTTGAAATTTGAAAATATATTATTATTATTATCATCATCAGAAAACAACAATGGTAGATCATTATCGCGTGTTTAACATTGTGGCAGACAGTTTTGAAAGTGCTAAAAATAATAAAATTTTAAAAGTAATTAACCAGATCTGCCATTGATATATATTATTTATTAGGGTCTTAAAAACTTATATTCATCACGGCAGACGTCTTCATTGAGTGCACACGCCAGCAGACAAAATCTTAGCTACTATACGGCCAGGTATATGCATAGACTGTCTTTAATAAATATCCTTCTTTTTTTCCTCTATGGATTACTATTGTACTCATTATGGCCTATAGCATTTTCTTTTATTGTTACTAGTATTAAAATAATTCAGATTTTATACCTGAGAGTGCCCAGATATCTCCCCACCATAACGGTTCGTGCCAGATGTTTTCAGTATATTTGTGAACCTTCATTCAGATACCTCGTGTTTTGTGAAATTAATAAAATACATAGTGTTGCTTTATTTTATTTTTTAGCACTTTCAAAACTGTCTGCCATAATGTTAAACACACGATAATGGTCTGCAATTGTTATTTTCTGATATTAATAATATATTTTCAAATTTCAAAACGACAGACGTAGTCAAATGCATTTAAAATTTGCCAAAAATCGATACCTGTCTTACCTGAGCGCCCGCCGCGTCCACCACTTTGGGGTTAGTGACTCCCCATCTCGGGTATGGTAGGTATAGGGGCCTCAGGGTACAAAAACTCAGGTCTGGTCAAATACATACA